AAGGCCTACTAAACCTTTAATCCTATAAAAGAGAACTCGAAAATTGAAACACATTGGTCCGATGATTTCCCAAGACCCAATTACAGAATCTTTTTTTAGAAATATGAATTTCTGCATATAAACTGAAACTGCAAGCCTTAAAAGTTACTACTGTAAATTACTAGTACTATTGTTAAACACAAAATTTACTATTCTTTTATCTGATCGTACGCATTTTTAGATCCATGTTTTCGATGGCTAGAGTTAAAAAGGTGATTATATCTCTTACATTTCAAAATGTGATTATATATATATATATTATTATTTTTACAGCCAAGACATATGGTTGAATTATTATTACCATAGACCTGGGAACTAAAAACAGTATCATGAGCTGAATTCAGCCTTTAAGTTGAATTTAATTATCCACTGGAAAAAAGCATCTTCAGTTCCTCCATCAAAAGAATCAACTAAAAAGCCCTAACTATAGATTTGACAAAAGTTTAATGATTCTCTCAGACTTGTGAATTGTGATACTTTCTTCAACATTTGAACTAAAACTATTATAGAGAAAAAAGCAAAAACAATAAAGTAGATCCACATACTCCATCAGATAGATCTTTGTGGTCTAAAAAAAAAATGCACATCAAACAATTCACAACAAAAATGAAAGTAAAGATCTCTTCAAATATACAAAATTTATAAATGTTTTTACAATGTTATATGATAAGAAAAATAAAATTAGTAATGTGTGTTGTAAATTTCACAGCCTTATCGCTTTCGAGGGGAAAAACGGTCTATTTCCCCACGAGAACTATGACATCATAACAGATAGAGCCCAATCTATGACCACGATCTAAATATCCCCGAAAAAATATTTCTCAACCTATATCTCCTCGAATCGATAGTTTTCATCTATTTCTCCATAAAATAATAGTTTTCACCTAATTTACCCACAGATTTTGGTTTACAATTTACCAAACAATTTTTAACCACCTAAATACAATACTGAACCAAACTTAAACCAATTACAACAACATAACCGGATTTAAACCCAAACCGAACCAATTTCTTAAAGTTCACAAACCAAACAATTACTCACGCATCACCACCACTTACGTCAATGGCGGATCTGCCTTTCATCTCCTCCTCTTCCTCCACCTCCTCACCACCACCATGTGACCTCTCCATCTCCAGGTTCATCAACCAATCACAAACTCGATGTATCTCACTCATTCACTCCACCTCAACGCTCTATTCTCTTCCCAATCTCTTTCCACATGCCTCGATACAACCTTAAAATCCCTAATTTCAAACACAACTTTATCTCTCCAATGGAGACAGAGTCAAATTCCGGCGACCCCTCTGCAACTCCGGTGAAACCGAGCCGCAACCTCCACTGGCGAACCGAAAGCTATCGAACCTTGTAATCCTCTGTGCCTCTCTCGATCGCGATTTCAAGAGATGCAAATTTTTTTTATCTCAGCTGGCATTCTCCAGCTATGGCTTCCCCACTGACCCTCTTTGGTAGTCATAGCTTCTCTCAATTATTCTCTCGATTTCTCCACCTAAAAACCGAAACCTTCCTCTCTACTTCAATGGTGAACTCCGATGTGAATCCGACCAGAATCTCTTCAATTTCCGGAGATTTCTTCTGACGAGTCTGAGGAATCCCCTGCCTTTGCGAGATCCCCATTCGTCCAAGAGCAAAAACGTCCTCTCGACCAGACGCTTTCAATTCCTACGCCCAAAACATGAGTCGTGTCTATTCCTAGACGAAACGTCAGATGTAATTTCCGGTGATTTCCTCCTTTGCCATTAGCTTTCAAAATTACTCAGCTACATCTGTAAGCTCTCGATTGTCAATTCCGGCAACATGATACATAATTTTGTTTCAGTTTTGCTTGATTTCATTAATTCGGTTTAATGTTGGTTTTGGGGTGGTTTGATGTCGGTTTAGGTCGTAAACCGAGTAAATCCAAATTTATGGAGAAATAGATGAGAACTATCGATTCGAGGAGATATAGGTTGAGAAGTATTTTTTCGGGGATATTTAGATCGTGGTCATAGATTGGGCTCTATCTGTTATGATGTCATAGTTCTCGTGGGAAAATAGACCGTTTTTCCCTTTCGAGGTGTATATGTTAGCCCTCCTCCTTCTGGTACATTATTCATTGGTCGTCGAGCCCCATCACCACCATTCTTTTTTTTTTTTTTTTTAATTTCCATCTAGAATAAATATCTTTTATTTTAAATATATTTATTTTTCTGGTAAATAAAAAATAAAAATTATGAGAGATTACTATTATTAGTTCGTATGTGAATGATGATTGAAGTGGTAGTAGCAGTGAAAAACAAAGCAATCCCCACCCATTTGCTCTTAAGATTCTTCCTTCTTCACATAAGAGAAGTCACATGTCCCTTCTTCTTCTTCTTCAAACAAAAAAAAGCAAAACCCTAGATCAGACCCAATCAGAGAGAAATGAAGAGAGATCTTCATCAATTTCAAGGTCGATTGTCCAACCACGGGACTTCTTCTTCATCATCATCTAAAGATAAGATGATGATGGTGAAAAAAGAAGAAGACGGTGGTAACATGGATGATGAGCTTCTCGCTGTTCTAGGTTACAAAGTTAGGTCATCGGAGATGGCGGAGGTTGCTTTGAAACTCGAGCAATTAGAGACGATGATGGGTAATGTTCAAGAAGATGGTTTATCTCATCTCGCCACGGACACTGTTCATTATAATCCATCGGAGCTTTATTCTTGGCTTGATAATATGCTCTCTGACCTTAATCCTCCTCCGCCTCGCTCTAACGGTTTAGATCCGATTCTTCCTTCGCCGGACTCGTTTCTCACCACCGTCGCCGGAGCCTCGATTGGTGGTTTTCCGGCTTCGGATTATGACCTCAAAGCCATTCCTGGTAACGCGATTTATCATCAGAATCAATTTCCGGCGATTGATTCTTCGTCTTCGTCGAATAATCAGAGCAAGCGTTTGAAATCATGCTCGAGTCCTGATTCAATGGTTACATCCACCTCGACGGCGACACAGATTGGTGGAGTCATCGGCACGACGGTAACTACAACCACGGCGGCTGAGTCAACTCGGTCTGTTATTCTGGTTGACTCACAAGAGAACGGTGTTCGTTTAGTTCACGCGCTTATGGCTTGTGCTGAAGCAATCCAGCAGAACAATCTGACTCTAGCGGAAGCTCTTGTGAAGCAAATCGGATGCTTAGCTGTGTCTCAAGCCGGAGCTATGAGAAAAGTCGCTACTTATTTCGCTGAAGCTCTCGCACGGCGGATCTACCGCCTCTCTCCGCCGCAGAATCAAATCGACCATTCTCTCTCCGATACTCTTCAGATGCACTTTTATGAGACTTGTCCTTATCTTAAATTCGCTCACTTTACGGCGAATCAAGCGATTCTTGAAGCTTTTGAAGGTAAGAAGAGAGTTCATGTCATTGATTTTTCTATGAACCAAGGTCTTCAATGGCCTGCGCTTATGCAAGCTCTTGCTCTTCGAGAAGGAGGTCCTCCAACTTTCCGGTTAACCGGAATTGGTCCTCCGGCGCCGGATAATTCTGATCATCTTCACGACGTTGGCTGTAGATTAGCTCAGCTTGCGGAGGTGATTCACGTTGAATTCGAATACCGTGGATTCGTCGCTAACAGCTTAGCCGATCTTGATGCGTCGATGCTTGAACTTAGACCGAGTGAGACGGAAGCTGTTGCGGTGAACTCTGTTTTCGAGCTCCATAAACTCTTAGGTCGTCCCGGTGGGATAGAGAAAGTCCTCGGTGTTGTGAAACAGATTAAACCGGTGATTTTCACGGTGGTTGAGCAAGAATCGAACCATAACGGACCGGTTTTCTTAGACCGGTTTACTGAATCGTTACATTACTATTCGACTCTGTTTGATTCGTTGGAAGGAGTTCCGAGTAGCCAAGACAAAGTCATGTCCGAAGTTTACTTAGGGAAACAGATTTGCAATCTTGTGGCTTGTGAAGGTCCTGACCGGGTCGAGAGGCACGAAACGCTGAGTCAATGGGGAAACCGGTTTGGTTCGTCCGGTTTTGCGCCGGCAAATCTCGGGTCTAACGCGTTTAAGCAAGCGAGTATGCTTTTGTCAGTGTATAATAGTGGCCAAGGTTATCGTGTGGAGGAGAATAATGGATGTTTGATGTTGGGTTGGCACACTCGCCCGCTCATTACCACCTCCGCTTGGAAACTCTCGACGGCGGCGCACTGAGTTTGGCTCGATGCCCACGGTGGTGATATGGTGACTCGACTCGGTGAATTCGAGATTGAGATCAGTGGACCGGTGATGACATATGTTCGGACCAGACCAAAACCGAACTGAATCGAACCGTTTTGCCCTTTTGTTTATTTTATTTATTTTCACCTGTTTAAAATTCTTATATATCGTTTTGGTAGGTCATTTTTAATTTATGCCTTTTTTGGGATCAATTTTAAATAGGCTGAGTTTGTATTTATTAAATAATTAATATTTATGAATTTTAAAATAAAACTATGTTTTTTTTTTTGAACAAAAATAAAACTATGTTTTAATCTCTCAATTTTTTGGCAAAAAAAAGAAATTGACTTCACTATGTATGAACAGTAGTAAACTAATAATTAGTGAATCTAGATATTTCTTATTTGTTAATGAGGTATTGAGGTTTATAAAGTAAAGTTGAGAAAGAAAAAGGGATGATAGCGAGATATAACTATTACAAAGAGTACTAACTACTAAAAGATAATTTCATGAAAAAAAAGGTTTTGATACTTTTTAGTGGAGTCTAATAATACAATTTTTGCTCATATTTTAACTAATTTCTCATTGGCTGTAATCATATCGGAAAGCCAAAATTTATGCATCGTGGTGAGATAAATACTTATCTAGATCGACACATCAACTTTTAGTTCCGATGTTTTATTAATCTTTAGAAATGTTGAGTATTTTGTAATCGCAGGCTTCAGTAAGTTATTAATGTTAAACACGTACATACTATATATTAAAGTCTAAAACCTGGTCTTTATTTTTTTGTCGTCTGAATTTTATTAAGAACCAAAGTAAGATACATGTTGAAATTACATATGCCGGCGGACGACTAAGATGTCCCTAGAAACTTAGCCCAAAAAAGGGAAGCAAAACCCCAACGTAACGGGGAAACTAATTTAGACTAGCCATAAAATACAAGAAGAGACAAATGTCTAAAAAGGATCAACCGCATAGGCAGAATTGAAACCTAAGCTCTATAATTGAACAAAGGAACGATAGACTCTCACCAAGCTTCCACATAGAAACTGTGAATGTCGGAAGCACCAATAAAACCGGATAGACCTCACACCGAAGTCAAACCAAAAGCATAACCGACAGGGAGGAAAGCAAGAAACCATCGATACCAGAGACACAAATACAACCACTATCACACCTCAACAGCCAAACAGAGAGAGCAAACACCACTATGGACAAGGCAAAACCCTTGAAAATCGACTGGAGATAAGCCAATTAAGAACAACAGCTCTTACACGCGGACACTCGTCGAAACAGCTTCAGCCACCTACAGACATAAAACTGACGACGTCCTCGCAAGAGAAGAGCTAGAGAACGATTCCATTGCTTCGCCTAGAACCTATCTCCAAAGAAGAGAGGCTAGTAGGTGGCTCAGCAACGAAATACCATCAGAATGGCCAACACCAAAAACGAACCCAGCCATATTGCAACCACGAACAAGCAAGAGGACTCAATAGAGAGGTAGAGCAAAGATCCAATTTTAAAACCCACAAACAGGGCCACCTCCTTCGATACAAGCCTCACAACCAACACATAAACCTAAAGGAAGGAAACTAAATCGAAACCATCTAACACACGAAAAGAGGAGAAGAAACCAAACCCAAAGATCTGCTTACCGGACTGAAACACAAGTGATACCACGGCCTAGATCTGCGAGCAACCAACCTCAATAACCCCAAAGAGTCATGAGCCATCGCCAGATCTGTACAGAGCAGAGAATCTAAAACCGTTACCTAAAACGGTGACCCACTAACGACTCTCACCGGAGAAGCAGGCCGCCGAGCACGCCAAGAAGGCACGTCGAAAGGTTTCACCATCTCAGCCAAGAAAAATCCTTCACCTCAAAAACATGGAACTAGACAGATCGAGAACAAAAACAAGTAAAACAGAAAAAGGAAAGCATTTACACCCTCTCACAGCAGCGGCGAGGAGCGCCGACCACCGGAGAGGGCCAAACGGAAAACTGAACTTTGACGGCTGCTAGGGTTTTGAGAGAAAGAGTCGAGGACTTTTTTTTTGGTTGACTGAGTTTTTTTTTTTTTTTTCTTCTAAAACCTGGTCTAGATGTATTGTTTATATTTAAGTACATGATATTTTTATAAACCGCCGGAACAACTTTTAAAATAAGATAATCTCCTAAGTATTTTAAATGAGCTCGAATTATTTTTTAGTTAGACGATTATTATAATTAAGGTTCCAGAAATTAGTAGAATATATATGCCCCACAACACAAGACAGCTCAGTCTTAAAAGGATTGAACCGATCCATATCAAAATTTTAAATCAATAATCTCGATTAATAATGAAACTAGATAAATTACCCGCACATAGTGCGGGATGAAATGACAATTAAAGAAGTGTATTGTAGTTTTAGTTACAAAAATTATTGTATTATTATGCGGAATTCAAAATCTGTTAGTGTATTATGATCTAATCATCGATTTTTTGTATCGGAATTCGTTTTACCCGTAAAATAATTAAAGACGACAATTTCTTTTCTAACGTAACAAACACATATACATCGTTGTTACCGATAATGTAGGGACCTTGGAAGTCACGGGTTCGATTCACGTTAGGAGGGGTCTGCTCTCCAAAGGAGAGTTATATTACATGGTTTGGGTCTCGCCCTGGGGGATGTACGGGCCTACAGGCTCATAACCTCCTAGTCATAAAAAAAAAGAAAAAAACATATATACATCTTGTAAAAGAGTTGATGAAGATTTAAAAAATTTAGATTGCTCGAAAACTAAGATGATGTGTGTTTGTAAATTTGAGACGGTGAAGATGATATCAGGGAATATATTTATAGAGAAATATTTTTGTAGGGTTCGGTTTAATTTTTGAAATTTGGATTGCCTTCAAAATTTGGAAAATAATTTATTGTTGATTTTATGATAGATTTAGTTTTGAGAATTAATTTTATAAATGTAGTTTGGATTTATGAACCTAGGAAAATTTGTACTTACAAAAGTTATAAAAATATATTGTAATATATTAATTTACATGAATTATACGCTTACATGTTTGAGTTGTTAAATATTATATATATATATATATATGTATATATGTTAGTCTGGATTTAAAAAAATAGACCTTAGATCAATTTAATATATATATATATATATATATATATATATACATATACACAAATCCTTTATGTATAGATAGAGATATGATGTTTGTATTACTGATGTTTAATGTTAATTAACAAAATAATTAGAATATCATGGCACATTTGTAATTAATTTAGTAATATTTGAGTAATTAATTGTATAAACCATAAATCTCTGTGAACACGACACGTCAGCATGGTAATCTTGTAAATCACACAGAGGGGCAAAGTTTTTTTATTAATAATGCTTCTCAATTAATATATAAGGGATAATTAATTATTCATATTTCTTAATCACTGATGTAGAATTATTAATCTTATATCGTATGTTTTTTTTTAATATCAATATACCAGAGTGTTACGCAGAATTGGGGATTAAACCGGTGATTTTTAATATCATTATAAAAACCGGTGATTTTCACGGTGGTTGAGCAAGAATCGAACCATAACGGACCGGTTTTCTTAGACCGGTTTACTGAATCGTTACATTAGTCATTACTATTCGACTCTGTTTGATTCGTTGGAAGGAGTTCCGAGTAGTCAAGACAAAGTCATGTTTGAAGTTTATTTGGGGAAACAGATTTGCAATCTCGTGGCTTGTGAAGGTCCTGACAGAGTCGAGCGACACGAAACGCTGAGTCAATGGGGAAACCGGTTTGGTTCATCCGGTTTTGCGCCGGCACATCTCGGGTCTAACGCGTTTAAGCAAGCGAGTATGCTATTGTCAGTGTATAATAGTGGCCAAGGTTATCGTGTGGAGGAGAATAATGGATGTTTGATGTTGGGTTGGCACACTCGCCCGCTCATTACCACCTCTGCTTGGAAGCTCTCGGCGGCGCACTGAGTTGACTTTGAAGCCTAAGGTGGTGGCGCTATGGTGGACTCGACTCGGTCATCTGAGATGACTCGAAGCCTCTACGACGGTTGTGGCGCTATGGTGAGTCGTCGACTCCATCGTTTGAGATTGAATCGGTGGACCGGTGATGACATATGCTCGGACCAGACCAAAACCGAACTAAATCGAACCGTTTTGCCTTTTGTTTATTTTATTTATTTTCACCTGTTTAAAATTCTTATATTTGAAATATCGTTTTGGTAGGTCATTTTTAAATTTATGCCTTTTTTGGGATCAATTTTAAATAGGCTGAGAATGTATTTATTAAATAATATTTATTAATTTTAAAATAAAAACTATGTTTTAATCTCAATTTAGAACAATCTCTAAACTGCTTCACAATGGAACAGGTAATTAAGAAGTATAGTGATATTAGTTACATATTTCTAGTTTAGTTTGTTAATGAGTTTTATAAAGTAAAGCTGAGAAAGAAAAAGGGATGAGAGGTAAGATATATTATTCCGAAGAGTGCTAACTAATAAAGGTTTTGATAACTTTTTATTGTGGAATGTGATATAACAATTTTTGCTTATATTTTACAAATTTCTCATTGGTTGTCATCATATGATGGAATGGGTCTTTTCACAAAATTTATGAGTTATTTAGATTAGATCTACACATCAACATTTAGATCCGATGCCTAATCTTTTATAAAATGGTAAAATTACTTTGCGCAGGGGTCTGTAACTCATACGATATTAACATTTTGATTTGTCTACACGTATGACTATCTTTTTTAAGTCTAAAATATGGTATAGCTGCATATTTTATGTGTAAGTAAGTACATGATGGCTATGATTGGTAACCAATTTTAAAGCTGTACAGCTTTGTACAGCTTTGACAGTTACCAATCACAAAAGCTTTATGAAAAGCGGTACACTATAAAAAAAAAAAAAAACTGTTTTTTGGACAAAAACAAAAATAAATTAAAAATGGTTACGGTTAAATACGGTTACGATTAAATACGGTTATAACGGTTACGGTTAAATACGGTTACGGTTACGGTTACAACGGTTACGGATAATTACGGTTATAGTTATTTGATGACTACAATACGGTTAATATCGGAGGCGAAATCTTACGAGTTACCTAACTTATTATAATACTTTTCATAAAATCAAAAAGTATGTTACAAACCAAATTTTCTTCATTTCGAGCAAAATAACAGTATAACATATTTGTTTGAGAAAAAGACCATTTTTTATAACGTAGATTTTTTCATATGCGGTATCATTTACTTTTTTGAAAATCTTAATCTGAATATTCGATAATTTTTTTTGCATTATATGGAGTTACAATTATATTTTTAAAGTTTTAACTATGCGGTTAACCATATGGTTAAATAACGGTTTTCATATGTTTACCGTTAATTAACGGTTACGGTTAATATATTTTTTAACTGTAACTAATTATTTTTTACGGTTATGGTTTTAAACCGTTTTATACGGTTACGGTTGAGAAACGGTCCGGTTACGGTACAACATATGGTTAGGGTTAGCTTTTGGTCATGCCTAGTAAGCATGACCAAAAGCTAACCATAACCGTATTTTGGATCGTAACTGGACCGTTTTTCAACCGTAACTGTATAAAACGGTTAAAAACCATAACCATTCACCGTAAAACTAGATTAGTTACGGTTAAAAAAAAATATACTAACCGTAACCGTTAATATACCGGAAACGTATCAAAACCGTTATTTAACAGTACGATTAGCCGTACGGTTAACCGTATTATTAACCGCATAATTAAACTTTATAAAATATAATTGTAACTATGTATAATGCAAAAAAAAAAAGTCTCGAATGTTCAGATAAAGATTTCCGAAAAAGTAAATAATACAGCCTATGAAAAAATCTCATTAGAAATAATGGTTTTTTTCTCAAACAATTATTTTGGAATGTTATAGTGCTCAAAATAAAGAAAATTTTATTTATTTTGGAATATTGTTCATTCTATATAATCTTAATTTTCATATGTAATTATATACTAAAGTACATTTCTATATAATTTTTTCTTTCTTTCTAAATTCTTAATATTATTTATTATGTGTACCGCTATGATGTTTCCAATCAGAATAAATTTTTAAAATTTGTTCTGCGTTATTTTTTTGTACAGCTTTCGTGTTTTATTCTTTTGTACAGCTTTGCACTATTCCCTAACAGCTAACAGCTCCAGCTAACCGCTCCAGCTAACAGCTAACAGCTTGTTACCAATCAGACCCGATATTATTATAAACCGCCGCAACAATTTTTAAAATAAGACAATGGACTACACATTTAAATGTAACCCACACATTTTGAGCTAATATCCTAAAAAAATACTCAAAATGTCGATTATTATAATTAAGGTTCCAGAAATAAGTAGATGCCCCACAACACAAGGCAGCTCAGTCTCAAAAGGATTGAACCGACCCATATCATTATTTAAATACCGAAATAAATATATAATCTTCGATTAATAATAAATAATTGTCGACAATTCTTATTGGGAAAAATGTCGTTAAAATCCCCAATTTATTCAAAACGTTGATTTAAATCCTCAACTCATGACGAAACAAAATAAATATCAAACTTATGTTGACTTTCCAAATAAATATTAAACTTATGTTGACTTTCCAAATAAATATCAAACTTCCGTTGACCTGGCCATATTAGATACGACGTTAAGTGGGTTAATAGATCTCGTTAACGGAGATAATTTTCTGTTAACATATATGTTAATTGATAACGACATTGTTTCATATAACAACAAAACGACGTCGTTTTGTCGTAACGATTGAATTAAATCCCTAAAGTCAATCTTAGATCCCCAAATCGAGCAAAATCCCTAACCCCAAATAGAGTATGATTTGAAACTCGGGATTTTATTGAACAGTTACGACAAAACAACGTCGTTTTATGCTTAGAAGGAATACTTGTTAGTGTTTTGATCAACAAACGAACTCTGTTTTAACAAAGTATGAAGAACAAAACCAAAATAAAAAATAGAGAATGAAGAAACTTGATCTTTATTGATAAGATAAAATGTATTACACACAATGATGTTATTGAGTTTGA